TTTTTGTCTTTTTGAGACAGGGTCTCGCTATGCAGTTCAGGCTGGCCTTGAGCTCACTTTGTAGCCCAGGCTGATCTGGAACTCGCAACGATCCTAATTTCATGTAGAAGCATTTCATTGACCATCCAAACTTGACTAAGTAAAACTGGGACTTAATATTTTCCCTAAAGTATAATAAGGTAACCACATATATCATGTATGTGCATATATAAAAATACACAATTATTAAATTGTCCTAATTTGTACTAATAAATGGCATTTAATCAACACATGTAGAATAAGCACAACAGTTATCTTTGCAGTCATAGAAGACACATCTAGCCTTCCATCTAACCTGTATGTATTCCAGAAATGCTAATACAGTTAAAAGTCAGTCCCTGCTATTTCACTAGATACTGGTGCCTCTGGAGTAATCAGTGATTCACACATTTTAAAAAATTAAAAATTTTTTGAAACAACTGGCTTGAGTTTTCTGTGGTCAAGGAGTGGAGTAAAAATATGATGCATCACCCTTCACACTGAAAAAGAAATCACTTAACCCTGATGACTTCTTCTCAAATGGTTTCCTCCATCCCTCTGACCGGTACCCTCGCTGTTCCAATGTGTCACACTTGCTCTGCCACCACTGCCTCGTAAGTGAGGCCCGTGCCTCCGTTCTCTACCTGGAAGCACAACCCTCAAGGCAGTGCGGTCCCGGCCTCCATGCCGAGCCTGTCAGTGATCTCCTTTGGTGTCCAAGGTGCCTCAGGAGCCTTGGCTCCGTCTCTCAGCACTCTTCCTCCATCTTCCCTCCCAGGGCAATGGTAGTGACGTGCATTGAGCAATTTCATACCCACACAATTTAATTCATACCCAGAACCTCATGCCACACCCAACCTTCCCGCTTCTCCCTCTCTGACGAGCTCTCATTTCCAGAGTTGCTTTTACATGGAACACTTTCAATCTCTCTTTACTCAACTTTACCCTCATTAATAAATGTGTGCTCCCTTCAGGCACCATGTTCTCCAGAAAAACCGTCCCTTGATCCCCAAACTGGATCGAGCAGTGTCTTTCCACGTTCTCATGCCATCCAGTACTTAAAGTGCTTTTAAGACTTACGATGGGATACGGAGATGCTTATGCATCTGCCTTGTCACCTGTTCTAAAGCTTAAAAGTGACAAGAAATACTTTGTCCATTTCTGTATTCCTAGCATTCAACACAATGCCGAGTGCCCTGTGGACACTCAGTGCCTTTTCCCTGCTGAACTACTCGCTCCGCCTGCCCTGAGGACAGCGTGTGTGCAGCCACACTTCACAGCCAGGCTCTCCGGGCTCATTTAAACTCAAGCCTACTCCCTGGAGGTGGACTTTCCCTACTCCCCAGCACTCACACTTTCACCTCCCTTTTCTCTGTCTCCAAAATGACTTTCAAAATCTCTCTCCTCATCTCAAGCCTTCCCTGCTTCACTTGCAGCTAATGACGTTACTCTGATTAGAGAGATGATAGATAGATGATAGGGAGACAGACAGACAGACAAAGAGAGATAGAAAGACTGCTTTTCAGGAAGGAGCAAAAGCACTGCAGCAAGGTAAGCAAAGAAGACTGACACAGTGTCTGCCTGGCAAGCACAAGGTCCTGAGATCGATTCCCAGCACTTAAAAAAAAAGAGGACTGACAAGCAAAGGACCCAGGACCTAAAGGAGGAGGAAAAGAGGGTGAAGTAGGTAAATAAGGGGATTGATCATAGACAGACAAGGCCAAGGAGCTTTATTTCTTTACTCTGAGTTCTGAATATCTATGTTCAAAAAACCTCTTTCCCCCAAAGGATAAATAAATAAGTAATAAGCTTTCATCCTCTGATATCACCACAGCACTATTAACACAAAGTTAATACAGTTTTATTTTGTTCTAAAGAAATTTAGACATCTGCTTCAAAGGGAAATCAATATTTTATTGAAGAAAACTAGGTAGAATCTTTGAAAATTAAAAAGACATTGGGAAATTGTTTTTAGATCTGGTAAAATTTTTTAAGAAAGGGTTTCCAATTTGAGGAATGAGGATAATCCTTGTCATGGTGTATTGTTTTCTCTAAATAGTTCAATTTTCTTACTCTTTGAGTCCAGTGTCTGTTAAGTCTTTGTAGATAAAAGAAAAAGCTCTACTTAAGCATACAGAGGAAGGAAATTAATGAAACAACAAAACTGAGCTTCCTCTTAGACCAGGCACCCTGGAATGAGAGCACCACGCAGAGGCCTTGCTGCTCCTGGCTGGTATGGGATGCTGTCTGGGGCTTTGAACTACTTTGATAAAACCCACTGTGCTGATTGGCTGGATCCCAGGCTTACTCTGGAGACCTAACCCTTTCCTCTATCTTACCCAGAGTGCTCTAGAGTGCAGGACCAAGTTTCTGTGTGAAGGGACTCTGGAATAGCTGGTAAAAAGGGCTAAATATTAACTACATGTGGTTTGGTCCAATATTCACATAATTTGTAATTCCATAAATTTAGTCTGAGCTATATCCTAGTAATCTCTGTGTGTGACACAATTTTGAGTTTATCATGATGATATTCTTGAAATCAGGTCAGTGCTCTCTGGATTGCATTGTAAAAGAACTATCTGGCAAGAAATCACAGAAAAGTTTTTTATCAACATTAGTTGGCTTATGGCTGAGGGTGTAGTTCAGTGACAAAGCACATGCCTAGCATGCACAAGGTTCTTTGTTTAATTCTTAATGCCAAAAAAAAAAAATATGTGGAATAAATTAGACTTTGGGGTGAAGGGAGACAGTGCAGCCTTTTCGCACAAAATGGCAAATCAGTTGTGTTCTCTGAATCTACCAAAGATTCCTGCTTGAGGAGTGTGACTGGAGTGTGTGTCTGTGTGTCTGCACCTGTGTGCTTGCACATGCATCCCCATGCTTTCTTCCATAGTATTAATTCCACTCCTCCTAATAAAAGCATCCAAAGAATATTGAGAAGCGACCACGAAATATCTGGTATGACTAAATTCAATTCCTTTTGCCAAAAGCTCAAATTTAGAGCCAGAATTGTTTTCAGTAGAGGTGGGAACAATTGATTCTTCACTGCCTTAACCTCCTTCCCAAGTAAGCTGATCTACAAGGTGAGATCTGGTAGGGCTTGTCCTGTCCTAAGGACTCTCCAGAAGCATTTAAGGGCAGTAGTGACCAGACACCACAAGATCTGCAAGGTGTTACTTTCAATGAGGGAACATGTAATGTCTTTTTTTAGGAAATAGAAACCAAATAAAGGACAAGGACTATGCTCATTCCGTGGAGAAAAGGTGAACTCTGGTGACGGTATGAGGTTTGACTCAGTAAGGGAGTCTACTGTGATAAAAGGAGTATTGAGAGCAACAGGTCTCAAACAACTAATGTATAAACAAGCTCAAGGGCTGTGAACAAGGAAAACAAAGGCAGAAAGATAGTCAACCTTAACAATTTTTGCAATACCTCTTATTTGCAGACTATTGGATTTATGTTATTGTACTCTTGGTGTGATCTATTTTATGTATCTGATAGTTTTATGAATAATTGTTTTGAGTTGTAAACTCCTATATACTTTATTAAAATGAATCTAATTAAATGACCAGTAAAATACCCACCTTGCTTTCTGGAGTTAAATAAGTTTTTCAGGATTTCCAAAAATACTGCTAAAGAGAACACACTGTCCTTTCCATTTTTACTCCCAATATTCAGTACATGCTTAACACAAGATTTAAGCACTGGAAATGTGCTCCACCAGAGCAGCTACAGGGAAGAGAATGCTCATTCTTCTTCAATAGAGATAGAGGACTCAGAGAGAGCTTCGTTCAGATCCATTAATCATTCTGTTAATCATTCATTTAAAAATAAAGACAAGCTTAGCCAAGTCAGTGATTTTGAGCTGCGAAAATTCCAACAGATCTACATTTAGTATATGGCATGACAGTTTGCTCAAATTCCAAAAAGAGTTTCTCAAAAGAGCGTTCATCCTGATGCAATCACAGTGTGTGGATTTTTCTTTCTTTATGATGCATCTGTCACTAATATAAGTACTATTTTTCAAACAGTTTCCTTATTTCTGTATGAAACTGCCTTTGCTTGTCCATACATTAGCTTTGAAGTGTTTTTTAAATAAATGTTTGTTTTGTAATATAACGTACATACAGAAGAGTGCACAAATAGGTTCGTGCTTAGTGAGTTATCAGATAATGAAAACATCCATTGGATTGTAAGCAATACTAACTTCTGAGCATTTTAGAAGCTCTAGTTGTGCCCCCAACCAAGCAAATTCAACTTTTCCCCTCAAAGGCAATAGCCATCCTGATAGCCCTGAATTTTAAAAATAGCTTTAAAAATTATTATAGCTTTGCAACATAAATAAACATATATGCACCAAACTATCTTTCTCCATTGCATAAGTAGATGTGCTTTACTTTTAATGTTTTTTTTCTTCCAACAAGGCTAACTTACACATCACTGTGTCCTCCTAAAGTTAATGCGACAACATAACATGGGTCACATTTCACCAACCCCAAGCAATACACTTTCGGAAACCTCAGGATCCTATGGAAAGGGCTTCCTCTCACAAGTGAGCAGACAGTACTTCAACTGGTTTTGGGAAGCAGCCCTGAGCTGTCCCTCATGTTCCCTGCTTCCTGGGATTCATGTCAGTTTGTGGTCTATACCTTGCGTACAGATGGACCTAATGACTTCCTTCTACTAAACAGTATAATACGGAAGTCTTGTGATGTCACTACTACAATGGAGTCATAATTCATCTGGCTTACTAACTTTCCCTATCTTATTAGCTCTGAGAGAAGCTGGCTTCCAGATTATAAGTTGCTCTGTGAAGAGGCGCACATGTCTTCTCCAACCAACAGCCCAAGAGCAACTTGCAGGGAACTGAATCCTGCCAACAAGCAATGCGAGAGTTTAGAATCAAATGTGTCCTGGTGGATGCAGCCCAGTGACGCCATGGTCAGAGCCTCAGCAAAAACCCAGAAGAAGAAAAAGCTATGCAAGCCATACCCAGATTCTGGACCCACAGAAACCCTGAAATAACAAATGCTTCTTCTTTGAGTTTGCTACATTTGGAAGTAATTTGTTACCTACTGGGAGAAAAGAAGGTGTTCCTAAGTTCATCCATTACCATCCATTCATCATGCCTACAATGTATAGAAAGCAAAAGGTCACAGAGAATCATGTTTACTGGTGTTGTGGTTAAACTTAATTTTGTCAGCTTGATTGATTTGAGAGCTGCCATGCGGATGAGTGAAACACCCTTCAGTGCGTCTAGGAAGGTCACAGAAGTGTGTCTTCCTCTGGCCCCTTCCTCTCTGACACTATCCCCCTGCTCCACTTTCCAGTAGCATAAACTAAGGATTGTTTTTTGCTCCTCCACACTCTTCTGCCATAATGCTTTGTCTTGAAGCCAGCTAAACATGGACTGAATCCCCTGAAACCATTATCCAAATAAACCTCTCTTCCTTCAAACTGTGGGTACCAGGTATTGTGTGCCAGGAATGGAAAAGTGACTAAGTCACCTGTAAATTCTTTGACTCTTAAATCAGACCATGGCTTTATGAGGGTCTAAAATCTTTAGTCTGCTAGTCTGTGAAGAATCGGAGACCACAGTCTTTCTCCTATAAATGGTCCAAGCCTCTCATTCTCTACTTGGACTCCTATTTCTCCCAACATGGGCTATAAATATCATCCTCCAGGACATGTCCTTGAAGGACTCTCCCTTCTCTTCCTGGTATTCTTCAACTCTTATTAGCCAGCTGTCATCACCTCTACAATGCTGACCCTGACCCTAACAACCCTAGAGTCAGTCATATCCCTCCTCTGCTGTGTGCTTTTAAAGCCTCCTGAACTTGTACCCCACACAGTACTTTGCATATTGTGTTTAAAATATTTGTCTCCACTCTGTTCTGTTGCCCAGGGTGTTCCATTTAATGGCCACAGTGACCTAGAATAGTGTCTGTTCACTAAAAAAATGTATTCACTCAAATCAACTCTCACAGACAACTAAGACTGTAAAATCCTATATACTATGGCACATGACATGGAATAATCCCACATGTACACTATGCAGAATAACTGCTGGTAATGTCATCTCATCATAAATATTAGGAAATGTCTCTGCATTTGAAGTGTCTTTGTATAATTAAAATACACTTTGCCTTCCCTTTTCTAGCCTCACTTTTGTAGACTTTTAGGGTGCTTTGGGTCTTCTAATGACTGAGTGGGATATCTGAATAACAAGACTCCCTCAGTCATCTCATTGTAGCCTTGTCTTTTTGATTGCTCACTTTTCTTCCTGGAAAAGGACTTACACTTTTAATGCAAAAAGACAGGTGCAAAACAGAATTAAATTGCAGGACTTATCAGGGCTTTTCCAAATCTATAAATCTTCTGTTAAGTTAGGACTATTTTACAAAGTATCCTGACCTCCTCCTCCTCACATTATAATCTAAATGTGAAAGCAGGATGCTTTTGTTATGAAGAATCATTTTAGTTACAGGAGGTCCTAAAAATAGCTTCAGTCCTTCCTTGCTCCCATTGTGAAAACATCTGCTGGTCTGTGACTACAAAATGTACGACTCCCACTGGGGCTCACCTAGTGTTCCTTGGCTACAGTGCCTATGACAAACAGGCTCTGTTGTACCCAAAATCCTGGGTGCAGTACAGAAGCATATTACTGTTCCTTCTCACCAACTGATGGGCTCTCTCTAATCAACATTTATTGAGCCAGTTATTGTGCTAGGCATAAGCGGTACAAAAACAAATTACACATGCTCCTTGCCATCTAGGTGCTTAAAATTCAAATTTTTATTGAAATAAATGTAAAATCAAGGTCTTTTGTCAAACACTGCTTTGGGTGCTACAGTATGAGTATCCTAATGCTTTAAGAATGTCTAGAATCATCTCACCCTATAAAGATTATATTTACACTTCATGCCCTTCCTTTACCCGCGCAAACATACTGCGATCAGCATGAATCTCTCTGCAGAACCAGCTGGTTTTTTTGCCTCACATCAACAGAGTTCATCCCGTCTGAAACTGTCTTACCTTTAATGTGCTATTCAAGGTTCGGATTTTGTGAAGTTTCTCGTTGATAGATGGATTCTTGCACCTCTTAACAAAGGACTTTCTCAGCTCCTTCTTGGTTGAAGGTCTTCGGTCCCCCAGAGGTGATAGACTAGCTTGCTCTAACGATTTGTAAAGCTTCTCCATTTCATCTTCAGCTGCTTTTGGTTCTTCTATTTAAAAAATGTAATAAGGGCAAAACAAGTTAAAACCACTGAGAGAATATTAGATATGGTAGCCTTAAAGTGTGGTCCTGCCTACACATTGATCTCAGACTTCTCACTTCCACCTCCAGAACTGTTAAGACAATAATGTTCTGTTGTCTAAACCACTCAGTTGGTGATACATTGTTTCTGCAGGCCCATGCTCCCCTGGAGGGTACCCCAGAGCCACTGTCAGGCTTCTCTCTGGCTCCCAGGATTTCCTTGGTTTGTGGCAACATAACTCGCTTTCTCATGGTGTTTTCTGGGGTGTATGTATCTGTGTACACACTTCCCCTCTGTGTAAGTACATATTGAGTTAAGAGCCCACCAGAATGACCTCATTTTCATTAATGATATCTGCAACATGTCCCAGTCAGATCACATTCTGATTTACACAGGCTGTGGGAGAAGTTAGGGCTTTAACGTGTGAATTTTGATGGAGTGAAATTCAGCTTAGAACAATCCACCCTCTGACCCCTCAAGATTTGCATTCTTCTCACACAGAAATCATCCTCACCTCATTCCAACATATCCTAAAGATTTTATGCATTTCAGTTGTCAGACCAAAATCTAAATGAAGTATCACTTAAGTCAGGGATTATGAGACTCAGGGATGGATTCATCCTAGTGTAAAATCCTTCTTCGCCTTTGAAACTGTGAGCACTACCATCTTACTTGTGGAATCTAAACTTAATTTGCCCTTGACTGGATTATGAGACTCATGGAAAGTTTATGTGGCTGAATTGTGAGGGTCTGAATATACTCTTAGACAGTGGAAGTTTCTAAAAGTCATTCCAAGAATCATGCGAATGGAGCTGATCCATTCTGGGACTTGGATTTTGATGAGACTATTGAAGCCCTCACAGCCTATGAGAGCCAAGGTGTTGCCTATGTTAAGTTACTCTGAGCAGGTTTTCATCCCTAGCAACTCTGAGCACCTCAAGTGATACCGAGGTGACTCAAAAAAAAATCTTCACCTTTTCATGTTGCTTTAATTTCTCACAAAGAAATTTAGCTCTTTATTCCTTCATTCCCCAAAACTAACCTTGGGAAAGACACACAATAAGATTTCTTTTTCTACCATGTACTCCTTACTGTTTATATGTTCCACCTACTGTCCTGAGAACAAACTTCGGAGAGATCCCATAAAAAAGGCTGCTTTAAGAAGAGCTGAACATAGCAGGCTCTCCAAAGAGGAGGAAACACATACAATGGAATTCTAGGAACACTAGAATCAAACAAACCTCATTTACTTTATAGTTTAAGGGCAAAAAATGCTTGAGCAAGAATTCACCCCCCAAAAAGTCACCATGAAATAGAGAGCAAATATGTTGGCCTAACTTTATACCTGGTTTCAAGTATTGATCAGGACAATCTTTCTGTTTTGTGACAAAATAGTTTCAAAACAGGGATAAGACATTTAAAATTGTATCTGAAGACAGTTAGGCTCTTGGTTTGGGCTGAGTGAAAACATCAAAGGCAATCTTCCGTCACTAAGAACATGAAAGGTTGTCTCATCAGTCACTAGGTAAATGCAAATCAAAACCGCAAGATAGCACTTAACATCCAGCAGGATGGCTAAAATAAAGAAGACAGAGAATAGTAAGTGCAGTCAAGGATGTGGAGACACTGAAACCTTCATACACTGGAAGTACAAAGGTAAAATGAGTTACCACTGAGGAACAGTTGGACAGTTCCTCAAAGTGCCAAACAGAGTTATGACTTGGTCCTGCAAATCTACTCCTAGATGCATACTACTGAAAACATATGTTCACGCCACAGTTTTACATGAATCTTCATAACAGCATTATCCATAATAGACACAAGGTGGGAGGAGACTAAATGTCCATCAAGAAGTGAAAGGACAAATAAAATGCTGTCTATGTAGATGAGGGAATATTACTTAGTAGTTAAGAGAAATAAAGCACTAAATCACCTACAGTGCTACAACATGGATAAAACTTGAAATCACTGTGCTAAGCAACAGAAGCCAGTCAGAAAAGACCACAAATCATATGAATCCATGTGCATGAAATGTCTACCATAGACCAATCCACAGAGACAAAAAGTAGGATGATGCTTGCCCGGGGCTGGGAGGAGATAAGCAGTGATTAGGAATGATAGGGAGCGTGTAGGGATTTCTTTGTGTGATGCTGAAACTGTTCTCAAATTAAGCTGTGGTGATAATTGCACAACTCTGACTATCATAAAAACTGCCAAATTGCACCTTTACATGGGAATTTTATGATATGTGAAATATATCTCAATGCAACTGCAAAAGAATAGTAGACTTTTTATATTGTCATAATAGATGATAGATGATTAAAGCAGAAATTTTAAGCATAGCAACAGTCCTGGGAATAACCTGGAGATATTAGAAAGTCTTATGAAAACTACATAAAAGATATCCTACTTGTGCATGGCATATTATGATTCGGAGTTCCATTTTCAGATATAAAAAAACACAGTAATCTCATGTGCCATTTTATAAAATCTTCATCCAGATAAAACACTACTTTGAATTAAGTTTAAATACAAAGCTCTCAATACCCAGCATTTTAAAACTAAATTTTATATATGTGTATCAAATTTTAAGAAACAAGCCAAATAAATATATGACAAGGTTAAACAGAATGTCTTCTTTAAATTTCTCTGTGTTCACTGAGCAGATCACTCATGGTACTCAAGATGGTGCTAGAAAACAAAATCATTTTATACTAATACATTAATTTGCAACTATGTCAAGATTAAAACTATTATATCATAATCATGTATTTGAGTCTGTAGGTATTAAACCATTATTATATAGAGATATAACCATTATTATATAAAGATATAAATAAATTTAGAATATTGGAATAATGTGACATAATATATTCCCTAAATAAAAAATAAGCAAGGTTCTTTTTGGATAATTTTATTATTATTTAATGCTATGACACAAAAACTTCTTTATGTTAAAAATATCAGAAGCTGTATTTATTGCCCACCTCCATTCCTTTCCTCAATATAAACTTTGGAGCAATAGCCCTGAGAAGTGTGTGTGTGTGCATGTGTGTGTGTGTGCATGTGGGTGTGTGTGTAACCTGACCTTCAAGAAACAACTGAACGGTCAAAGTCACACAGGTAAAATGAACCTGTTTGGATTACTGAGAGGTAATACAGAATTCCTCTAAAATTTATATATAATGTTCACTTTCTATTTTAACTCATCCAGAAACGAGATAATAGTTCACAGAAGCTTATAACTGTCAGGGAATTGAGAGGAAAAATGAAAGGTAAATTATTACTTTAGTTTTTCTTCCTCAGAGGAACCTGTAACTGATAGACTATGTCTGACCCCTAATAACCTGACTCAGGAATCACTCACAAACATAAGGAAAATAAAATAACAAACAGTGATGTTAGGAGTCAAAAAATACCCTTACTGGCTTTTTGTGTGTGTCATCATCACCTGAGAGATGTACAACATAATACACAATAGTCAGGGGACATACCTGTGATCCAACCCAGTCCACAATCTAGTCAGGGACTTTAAATTGATTTTACTGATGCTAACGGCTGATACTTAGGTCTGCATGGGGTCAACATGTAAACATTTAATAATAATGGAAGCGAGTGATAAATAGGATCATAGGACAAAAATAGGACCCAAAGCTACTAGTACACAAAAGTCACAGTCGGCCCCTGATGTCAAAGCAGGGTGAGAGTTCTTCCTGGTGGTTGAACCAGGTCTAGCACTGGTTGGTTAACCCTCTCGCTCCACTCTTATACCATGAAGAAGCATGTCAGTATAATAGTATTTTTTAAAACATCCCTTCCATTTTTATGTAAATATCTGTCTATTATTGCATACTAGGAAGCACTAGATTCTTTTTTTCTTATCAACAGACTTTAAAGAGCAAGAAAACAAGATTAGCAGAAAAGACAACTCATCTCTGTCCCACTGGAAATGGAAGCCATGTTAATTATTTCCACCTTCCTTATCCCTGAAGCAAAAATAAATAAATTCTGTCTGAGAGTGAAGTGTTTCCAATGCAATTTTTACTCTTCCTCTCAGATGTCAGTTTTAGTCTCCCCTCATAGCAGGCCTTTGATTTCCATTGCCCTGTAAGGCACTTTATCATTTATCTCATCTCACTTCATAAGCACTTGGTTAAGGAACGCAAACTATTGTTATTTTATGGATAATAAATGAAGATTCTCTAAGAACATTCAGTGCTTTTTTTCAAAATGCAAATCAGTGATTAAGAATAAAAGCTTAATTCCATACCACATGGGCCCCATGTCTTTCTAAACAAGGGTCTTCTCAAACTTTAACAGAAAAACAGTCTCCAGGGAGCCTATTAAAAATGCAGATTCTGTTTCACACCATCTCTGGGATTCTGAGTGCTTACCAAGCTCCTGGCTGATGCTGGACTTGTTGGTCCATACACCATACTTGCGTAGCAAGGCTACACCATCTGTTAACAACTTCTCATGCAGCACCAGCTGTGACTCATTGCAAGAGAAAGGGACAGAAGTATAATAAGCAAGTTGAAACTTGTCCATGGAGCAGCATTTATTGACTGTGAACCATGTCCTCATTAAAGAAAAGAAAGAGAAAAAACTGGCTTTCTTCAAAGAAGTATGTCCAGAATTCTTGCTTGAAAACACCAGTATTTCACATGTTGGGTGGGTAAGATTTGGAGGCAAATGCTAGTGGCCCTCTATACCTTAAATTATCTCAGATTATCTCCAAACTTGGATCAGTTATTTAACTAGTTAGAATCAGAAAAGAGGCGATAAGTAAATGATAGACAGAGAGATACATGTAGATAGACAGATAAATGATAGAGATAGATAAATGTAGATGCATGTATAAATACATTTTTAGCAAGATCATTCTTAGTGATATTAGCACAAAAGACAAAACAACATTTTTTTACTAACAGAAGTTCACTGTTTTCCAAGAGTAAGCTAAATGAAGG